GAGTGCTGGGATGAGAGGCGTGCACTACCACGCCCGGCTGGATCAGTGATTTCTTAACAGGATGGCACAGGTTCGTGGAGCCAGTAGCTGTTAAGCCAGGCCTTGAAAGGGGTGCAGGCCTCCCTCGTGTTGGAGAGCTGGGCAAGGGTCAGGGTCCAGGTTTGGGTGAAGGTCTGCTGGGGGCAGAGGGAGGGAGCTGAGAAGCTGGAGCGGGTCAGGGCAGGACAAGGGGGACAGAGGCCTTGAGCGTCGGGCTGCAGGGCATGGCTGTCTGGACAGTGGGGAGCCCCTCTAGAGGTCTGCTGTGTGCCGGGCCTGAGATGGGCAAGGAGTGGGTGGGGGGCAGGAGAGAATGCCCAGGGATGAGCTAGGTCTTGAAAGATGAACCTGGCTGGAGGAACCGTGTGTGTTCTACCGGAGGGTAGAAGCAAGGGAGATCCTGACGGGGCACGCAGCCATGGCCTCACCCCGGGCGCAGCTTGAGCCTCCAGGTGGGGCTCTCAGATTGTGCGTAGGAATAAGCTTCTTGGAAGCCTGAGCCGAGCGCTCTCAACTTTACCGTGGAGGCAATAGGGAGCCATGGCAGGTGTTAGAGTACAGAAGAAGGGGTCAGAGCCTGTGGGTCTCCCTTCCCACTTCCCTTTCCAAATGTCAGGGACATTCAGTCCCTTCATGGGGACCCTTTGGACCCCTGCCTCGGTCCGGCCCCATCCCTGACCCTGGCTCCTGCTCCCAGCCCTGTGACGTCCATCATCGCGGCTGTGGTGGGCATCCTGCTTTTCCTGGTCGTGGGTGTGGTCGTCGGCTTCATCATCAAGCGGAGGCGGCAGAAGATCCGGAAGTACACCATGCGGAGGCTGCTGCAGGAGACCGAGGTGAGGCGGCCTGGCACCTCTGTGCGGCCCCGGCCTGCAGCTGGCAGGGCACTGACCCTCCCCGCCCTCCCTGCAGCTGGTGGAGCCGCTCACGCCCAGCGGGGCCATGCCCAACCAGGCTCAGATGCGGATCCTGAAGGAGACGGAGCTGAGGAAGGTGAAGGTGCTTGGATCCGGAGCTTTTGGCACCGTCTACAAGGTCAGAGGCCTGGGGTGCGTGGATTTGGGTAGGGGCGGTGCTGTTTGGAGGGAGCTGGGTGTCCAGTGTCCTGGGCCCGAAGAGTGAGTGACCTCCAGGTGGCAGGCAGATCCTGTGCACCCCTCGCTCACATCCCCTCCTCCTCAGGGCATCTGGATTCCTGACGGGGAGAACGTGAAAATCCCGGTGGCCATCAAAGTGTTACGGGAAAACACGTCCCCCAAGGCCAACAAGGAGATCTTGGATGTAAGCCCCGCGGCCCTCCCGGGGAGCCCCTGGCTGTAGTCTCGGCTGTTCTCATGGCTGGGGTGTGGCCCCTGCTCCTGCTCAGCCTACCCCTGTCCCCAGGAGGCCTACGTGATGGCTGGTGTGGGCTCCCCATACGTGTCCCGCCTCCTGGGTATCTGCCTGACATCCACGGTGCAGCTGGTGACGCAGCTCATGCCCTACGGCTGCCTCCTGGACCACGTCCGGGAACACCGCGGCCGCCTGGGCTCCCAGGACCTGCTCAACTGGTGTGTGCAGATTGCCAAGGTAGGCGCCTCGGGGACCAAGCCTTGTCTGCACCAGGCTCGGGCGGACCTCAGCTGGGAGAATGCCCAGGGTCCACACTGTGCCTCCCACCCAGGGCATGAGCTACCTGGAGGACGTGCGCCTGGTGCACAGGGACCTGGCTGCCCGAAATGTGCTGGTCAAGAGCCCCAACCACGTGAAGATCACCGACTTCGGGCTGGCCCGGCTGCTGGACATTGATGAGACGGAGTACCACGCAGATGGGGGCAAGGTCGGGGGGCAGAGCGGGGACGGCGCGCGGGCGTGGGGTGCGGCCCCCGGGAGGCCTCTGGGGAGCGCCGCCTCCCCACCCCCATTTGGAGGGCTCTCCCTTTCCTCCCCAGGTGCCCATCAAGTGGATGGCCCTGGAGTCCATCCTGCGCCGGCGCTTTACCCACCAGAGTGACGTGTGGAGCTACGGTGTGTGGGCTGGGGGGCCCGGCCGGGGAGCCAGGGAGGGAGGCGAGGGCTGCCTGTGCCCACCCAGGGCTTGGGAGAGACTGGGTGGGTCTCGTCCCCCTCCCGCAGCACGGTGCCAGGCTCCAGGCCCCAGGCGGAGCCCCTGCTCCCTTCACCAAAGGACTCCCAGCTCCCCAATCCTGATAACTGTCTCTGCCCTAGGGGTGACGGTGTGGGAGCTGATGACTTTTGGGGCCAAACCCTATGATGGGATCCCAGCCCGCGAGATCCCCGACCTGCTGGAGAAGGGGGAGCGGCTGCCGCAGCCCCCAATCTGCACCATCGATGTCTACATGATCATGGTCAAATGTGCGTGGGGGAGGGGCAGGGGGGCTGCAGGGGCCCAGCGCGGGTCGTGAATGGGCCCAGGGCCACCAAGTATATTTGAAGAAGCCTCATGACCTTTTCACAGCAGACACTTTACACAATTAAAAAGCAGGGAAACAAGCCAGGGGTGGTGGTGCACACCTGTAATCCTAGTGCTCAGGAGGCTGAGGCAGGAGGATTGAGGCCAACCTGGGCTACTTAGTGAGACCCTGTCTCAAATAACCAAGAAAAAGCAGGGAAACGAGTAGAACTACACTGACATTCTGGCATGGAGCCTGGTTCTGCCTCTCTGCCATGTGAGGGTTGTCTAGACCCAAGAGTGCGGCGGGCAGAGGCAGCCAGCGCCTGAGCGTCCAGGCTGAGGGTGCTGAGCTCCCTCCCCCGGCAGGTTGGATGATTGACTCTGAGTGTCGGCCACGATTCCGGGAGCTGGTGTCTGAGTTCTCCCGCATGGCCCGGGACCCCCAGCGTTTCGTGGTCATCCAGGTACCCGGCCTTCCCACACTTCCTGGGGGGGACCCTGAGTGCCCCCGTGCCTGGGCCCCTCCTGTCCCCCAAGGGGCTGCCACCTCGTCTCTGCCTCCCTAGAACGAGGACCTGGGCCCTACCAGCCCCTTGGACAGCACCTTCTACCGCTCGCTGCTGGAGGACGACGACATGGGGGACCTGGTGGACGCTGAGGAGTACCTGGTGCCCCAGCAGGGCTTCTTCTGCCCTGACCCCGGCACGGGCGCCCCGGGCACAGCCCACCGCAGGCACCGCAGCTCGTCCACCCGGGTCAGTGCTGGGGCGCCGGGCTGGCTGTTCGCTTGCCTGCCCCACGCGCTAGGACCCGTCCCTGATGTTCCCTAACCAGGCTTCTCGCGCAGACCCCGTGACCCCATCTTCCCCACCGTGACCACAGTGGTGACCCCCGAAGGTGACCCCGCTTCTCTCCAGGGGAACCTCAGGCTTGCGAGTGGCCCTGTCATGACCCTGCACTTCTTTCTCTTCTGCCCCCAGAGTGGTGGTGGGGAGCTGACACTGGGGCTGGAGCCCCCGGAAGAGGAGCCGCCCCGGTCCCCGCTGGCCCCCTCAGAAGGGGCCAGCTCCGACGTGTTCGAGGGCGACCCGGGAACAGGGGCGGCCAAGGGGCTGCAGAGCCTCCCCCCACACGACCCCAGCCCCCTGCAGCGGTACAGCGAGGACCCCACGGTCCCCCTAGCTCCGGAGACTGACGGCTACGTCCCTCCGCTGACCTGCAGCCCCCAGCCTGGTATGGAGTCCAGCCTGGGCTGAGATGGAAATGGGGGGTGGGGCCTCATTTAGGCCAGGACACACCCCATGTCCTCTCCCTAATGATCCTCTTTGCCCTTGCAGAGTACGTCAACCAGCCAGAGGTCCGGCCACAGCCCCCCTCGCCCCTAGAGGGGCCTTTGTCCCCTGTCCGGCCTGCTGGTGCCACTCTGGAAAGGCCCAAGACTCTCTCCCCCGGGAAGAACGGTGTTGTCAAGGACGTTTTTGCCTTTGGGGGTGCTGTGGAGAACCCCGAGTACTTGGCACCCCGGGGAGGCCCCCAGCCCCACCCTCTGCCCGCCTTCAGCCCGGCCTTTGACAACCTCTATTACTGGGACCAGGACCCGCCAGAGCGGGGGTCTCCACCCGGCACCTTTGAGGGGACCCCGACGGCAGAGAACCCTGAGTACTTGGGCCTGGACGTGCCTGTGTGAGCCGGGAGGCCCACGTGCAAGGAACCGTGCTGAGGAACCGTGCTTCTGCTTGGATTCCTGGGCAGCTGAGCCTGGCACCCTTGGCCTGGCCGCAATAGCGGCAGCACCAAGCAGTCTCTGGATTTGTAGCCCGCCGGCCTTAGAGCTGGCTGGTGGCCGCCGCGGCCCTGCCTGGCCCTGCCGGGCCCCCTCCTCCAGATGCCTGGTACTGAACTGAGAGGCTGAGCGGAGGGAGGAGGCGGCCCCTCAGGGGCGGCTGAGAACAAGGGTGGCCGCTGGGAGCCTGTCCCTGAAACCTAGCGCCACCCCTGGGAGGAAAGGCACCCGTGCCCAGACCTACCCCTGTACAGAGTGCTTTTTTGTTTTGTTTTTACTTGTTTTTTTAAAGATGAAATAAGGACTCCGTGGGAGTTGTGTGAACAGGGATGCCCCGGGGGTAGGGGAGGGATGCCCTCTCCACACCCACTTGCTCCATCTGCAGACAGGTTGTGAAAAGCAGCGGTGCCCAGCCTCTGTCTGGGGTAGCACGGTGCCAGGCCCTACTGCGCACCTTGCCCCCAGCACTCTTCTGGAGCGGGTGGCTGGGGTCTGCCGAGTGAGCCCGAAAGCCAGCCTCCCATCCTGGATACCTGGGACTCTCATGTGAAAGCCCACAGCTAGCTGTCACTCTTGTCTGGTCAAACTCATCCCAAAGCGCACCCCCAGAACGGGGTCACTTCCTCCAGGTGGGGAAGAGAAGATGGGAGGCAGCGTCTGTGTGACTCACTTCCCTGGCCTTGCTAAGAGGAGCTGCCCGCCCACCAGGCAGCATGGAGGCTGGGCTGACCTTGGTGCCCCCCACGCCCCGGGGCTGGCCGTGTAAACACACACCACTCGGCCTGAGTGTTTGGAGCGCCTCTTTATTCCAACAGCTGACAAGGCCCAGGGCTCAGGGGATGTGACTTAGATTCACTGTGGGCTCTGACAAGTACTGGCACAGGGCCTGGCCTTCCGCGGACACCGAGCCCAGGAAGCGGGTACGAGGTGGCTGTGGGAAGTCCACCGAGAGCGCTCTTCCTGCCCTCATGGCTGCAAAAGCTCCTCTTTCTGTCTCTGCTTAAAAGGGCAAAGTGGAGGCCAGGGTCCCTTAGCTGCTCGGAGCTAAGTGAGGGGAAAGTGGGCAGGGGGCTCCCAGCAGCACCGGGGGAAACCAAGGCATGGGCCCCGGAATTCGCAGCAGTCACAGGATGGTGCAGGGCGGGCGGCTGTTGGTGATCTTCTCTAGCGGTTCTCCGTTACTGGCTCTGCGGATGGCCTCGATGAGCTAAACGGAGGACGAGAGGCACAGCAGGATGGTACATGGTTCGGGTCGGGGCCCCCCTGCCCTGCGGCTGCGAATACTCACATCTTTCTCATAAGGGAAGCCTCCATTCTCCAGCTTGGAGAACACCAGCTGTCCATTGATCTCGATCTCAAAGGCCCCTGGTAGGGAATAAGTGTGTGGGTGGGTGGCACTACAGAGGCCAAGACACAAGTCTGGGGAAGCCCTGAAAAGGGGGTCCCCTTGAGCCGCAAAAGAGACTCCGGAAAGGGTCACCTCCTGCAGGTCAACTCCAAGGCACCTGCGGGGCCTGTGTTTTCATGCTGTCAATGAGGGGCTCTTTCTCTCCAAACCTGCGCTAGTGCCAGCAGTTTTTTTTGAGACAGGGTTCGGCTATGTAGTTCAGGCTGGCCTCTAACTCAGAGGTCCTCCTGCCTCAGCCTCCGTGCTGGGATGCTCGTCCGGCTATTGCCAACAGCTTTCTCCCCCTAGGCCTCATCCGTGGCCCCCTCACCTAGGGAAGGGGACTCGCGTTACGTTTTTACTATGTGCCAAACGCTGCCAGGCACTTAACCGAAGCAGCCAGCGTCTGCGCTAGAGTGGCAGCGCCGGGGTTCCGGACACAGGCTGACTCTGCGGGCGATCGTGGCCTCACCCGTGCCCCCGAGGCGCGACTCGATCTCGATGCCCGGGTACTGCTCCTTCACGGCGCTCGCCAGCTCCAGGTAGGTGGCCTCGAAGCCGCAGGGCTCGCTAGGGAAAAGACGCAGGTGGGTTGGGGTTTCGGGGAGGGGGACCGTCCATCCCTCCCGGGACACGCGGGGACCCGCCCGCCGCAGCCGCTCACCAGTACTCCACCACGATGCGGACCCCGCTGCCCGCTTCCAGCTCCCCGGGAGGGGGCGCCACGGACAGCTCCCCGGGCTCCCCGCTCATCGCTACCGGCTGCGCGCGGCTACCACTTCCGGGTGTGACGTCACGCCACGGGCACGTGACAGGCGCGGGGCCGACCGCGTGCTGCGCCCGCGCGCCCCCTGCAGGTCGCTGTCAGTGCTGCGCTCTGGCTGCAGCGAGCTGTAGTCCGCGCCAGACCTCGGGGCCTCGCGTAGGCTGAGGAGCCCTCTTGGACTGCAAAGCGCTTTCCAGTCTACAAAAGGAAGAAAACGTGACGGGCCGAGCAGACTGAGGGAGGGGCCGGTTGGCTGAGAGTGTGTAAAAGTTGCTGTCTCATTAATATGCTAATGAAATTTTATTTAAAATTTTACTTATAATTTATTTATTTATTTGTTTAGGTGCTGGAGATTAAATCCAGGGGCACTCTGTCACTGACCTAAGTCCCTAGTCGTACTTATTATTTTTGAATTTATTTATTTATTTATTTATGGTCTTTTTGAGACAGGGTCTTGCTGTGCAGTTCAGGCTGGCCTTGAGCTCACTTTGTAGCCTAGGCTGGTCTCGAACTCGCAACGATCCTCCTGCCTCAGCCTCCCGAGTGCTGGGATTACAGGCGTGCGCCACCAAGCCCGGCTCTATTTTTAAATTTAGAGACAGGTTCTTGATAAGTTGCCCTGGCCAGGCCAGGAACTTGCAATCCTCCTGTCTCAGCCTCCCGGAATGGTTGGAATTACAAGTGTGCACCACAGTTTAAACTACTCCGTAAAAAAAATAAATAAATAAAAACTACTCCATAGTTACACATAAAGTTCTAACTCCCAAGTGCTAAATTGTGCCTTTTCCAATCTTTTTTCAACTGCCTCTTCCTTGCACTGGGGAACTTCAGACTTTGGGGTGCAGGGCAAGGGCATCTCCCCAGGCTTCCCGCCCCATCTCTTGCACCTACTTCCTGCACCCCCCGGCCACCTCCCAGTGTCATGTCACTTTGCATCTCTGGAGGTAGTGACTCTCCCTGCCGAGGGGGGGCGCTAGAGTACCCTGACAGGCCACTGCACAGCATCCCTTTAGCCGTTCTTTCCTTTTAAACAGTGCAGTGATTTGTATTGTGCAATCAGCACCAAGATCCAGTTACAAAACAATTCCACCACCTAATAAGGCCCCTGTGGCCTGGCTGCAGGCGGACCGGCCCCAGCTCCAGCCCCAGCTCCAGCCCCGGGCCACTTCCCCCCACCCCCACCTCTTCCGGACAGGTTCTCGACTGGAATCGCACCATGCAGGGCCTTCTGCTCCCTGCTTCCCCCGCTCAGTGTAATGGTTTTCTGAGGAACCCCAACCTACAGGCAGTAGTTCCTTTTTATTGCTGAGTAGTATTCCATTGCAGGGATTAGCACGCTTTGTTTATCTGCTCACCAGGGGATGGACACGTGTTGAAATACTGCTGCTGCGACCATTGTGCTGTGTCTGTGACCATCCTGCGGGTGTCGGTGTGTGGATGAGGGTCTCCTTCCTTTGGGGTGGACTCAAAGGAGTAGTTCTGGCTTCTATGGAACGATTATGTTGAACCTTTTTTTTTTTTTTTTT